CTCATTCCTCACACTGCAGGTTGAAGTCTGTAACATTTTATCAGATGCAATCTGCCCATTTTCAAGGAAAGACAACTAAAACTTTTAACGACTGCGCTTTTAAATTACAATTAAATCTCTATAAAGCAAAGCAAAAAGCAAAGACAATGATAAGGTAATTGCTACCATAACCAAATCTGATTATAAATAGTTATTCCAATTTTATTTTACTCTTTTTCCCCTCATTCTCTGTTATGAAGACTAAACTCCCTCATATCACAAAACAAGATCAACTCCACAGACTTCTCTTCAGAAGCCGAATTATATGAAAAACAAAACCTAGGAAATTACAGGAAGGGCAATAGATATTTTGAGTTCTTTTTAATTGTCGATTAAAGTTTAAACAAGTTAATACAAACTCCAATTATAAACTTTTACTTGACTCTGATACAGATTCTCACCCTTCCAGCTGCACCAGTAAGGTCACTTTCCATAAATGACCATCATGACCACAAAATGATAATTTCCTAAACCAAGAACAGCTTTACTCTAACGGGAATTACCTAGGTCCTTGAAGGTAAAATATTCTTCATGCTAACATTTAAAGACATAGCAAAAACATGCTCTTATCATGATTTCTGTATTTGCTAAATGCTCACCCACTATAAACCAGTCCTTCTGCCTCCCTATCCACCCGCCTTGTAACTCTTGAATTCTGTGGGGGGGGGGGGGGGGGGAATCACTGATGTACTTTCATGTGATAATATTGAATTTCTTTAGAAAAAACACTTCAGGGATTGCAAGATGTATTTAAAAATGATTCTGTGTAACATTAATAATAACCCAAAGGTAACTCATTTCTTAGAATGTCTTCCTTTAAGAGGAACAGCAATAAAAAAAACAACCAAGTGCCTCCCAAATGCAGTGCTAGCTATGTTCTTGTCCTTTATCTATTTTAATTTAAAAGCTAAAAGATCCTGGGAAACTTTGGCTTAACTTCTGATTTAAAACTTAGACTCTTCATCCTGTATTTTTCCAGTTACCATGCAACAAATGCATATCAATATCAAGGCCATATACCTCAAGACAAAATTCAGAGCAATAGGACATAGATGCCAAGTACTTTGTCCCCTTAAAAACATATAGCCCACACCCTTGAAAAAGGACATTAGAATTCTATGGTATTTTTGAAGAGCAAAAAATCTCTTCTAAAGCTATAGGTCATAAAGATTTCCAGAAGCCACATCATACATAATCATAGTTAACTAATATTTTTTGGTTAACGTGCTATGTACTTTCCCCAGACTGACCATTTTTACAATAATCCTACATAGTAAACACTATTATGATCTCCATCTTACAAAAGAATTAACTAAGAAATACAGAAGGTTAAAAACGTTTACCCAAGATCACCGGAAAAGCTGGGCTTCCAAACATAGCCTAACATCACAATACAAACTCCTTAATTACTCGACTACTTGACTACCTACCTACCTGCCTAAGCACTTAACAAATAAACAATCCCTCAAAAAACATGTAGGCATAGATGTACTTCTACTTTTCTACGCAAAGTATATAAAAATCTTAACCCAAAAGAACCATTTGAATCAGCAATCTGAGCTTCCTAATCCATCATAATAACACTGATTTTATTCTTATATAAAACTTGAATCTACCTTAATTATGGAACAGCTTCTTTAAAAAGTTCTTCCTTTTAATTATAACTAACGTGTACTGAGGTAAGATGTGTACTTCACAGGCTTACCAGGTCAATAATCTTTTCTCCCTAGCCCTTCCTAATTCTTCACACTCCTCCAATTTCTTTTTTTGTCTCTTTCTTCTGTTTCAAAGCCCATGATCTCTGCCCATTGTGTCTAAAATTACCCCACTACCCCATCTGCCATAAATGAACACAAGTCTGGCTCATATTCAAATAACAAAGCTGGAAAGGACGTTAGCGAGATCAGGTCATCTTATCACACTTACTCAGATGCAGACACACTCACCACCAGGACACTGTGAACAGTGCCCCCTGAAATTGGGCCTGTCCCAAGCTAACAAATCCATTACTGGCCAAGGGAGGATTTGGGCTTCTCGCTGCTCTCCATTACAGTGGCCTCTCACTCCTTCTGTCTTGCCCACAGGAGGGACACCAAGTGGGAAGAAAGCCAAACAAAGGTGATTTCCACTATTGGATAAAAGGAATTTCAGCCCCCTTTTATCTCCTTCGCTCACAGAAAGGTGTTTTGGGCCCTGGCTTACCCGGAACCACTTTGTCAATTCTCTTTGTCTCCACCACTTACACACAGAGAATTAAACCAACAACAGCAACAATAAAAGCACTACTACCAGAAAAATGATAAAGGAAGTACATTTGTTGGGTTTTATACCCAAATAATGCCTAAAAGTCTTTAGAGGCTTTCTCGTAATGATGTGCAGAACCCATTTTAAAAAGTCTTGTAACAATCACCGGATGTGTGGCTCTGATATGTCATGAATTGTTTTTGAAAACTTGCTACCTATTGTAAGGAATTACAATTCTAATTCTTCACTCCTAAAGATTTTTTAAGATATTGCTTTGGATAAATATACTAAGTTGAACATGAAGTTTATGAAAAGCCCTATCTTATAAATCATTCATAAAAGGGAGGGAGCAAGAGACAAAAATAAGAATATACAGAGTTATCTAAAGAGAATGTTATTTGTGATAATTTCATATAGAAAGAGCTTTGCTTTACGAATGTCATCTGATCTCATAAATTAGCAAACATTCAAGAACGATGCCTTTCAGAATTTGACCACGACCTACTATAAGAAATACACACATACTATGAAATAAAATTTTTACAAACCATTACCTACCCATACTAATTATAACATATTCTGATTGTTTTTTTAATACTGCTGATGACATGCTAAATTGGTTTCATGGCTCACCAGTGAATCACAAGCCACAATTTGAAAACCTCTGCTCTACAAGAATCACAACATGTCAGAATACGTAAAGACAAAGTTGCTAAAACCACAATCTTGATAGACTAATCACACCCCAAGAGGCTCAATGAACATTTTAGGGTGATTTGAAATAAAAGTCAAACATACAGAAAAAATTTCCAAATAACAACTGCATTAAGAACAAGTTTTGTATTAAGAAGAGCTAAGTAAAAAGCACAGGAGGAAAAATAGACGCTTGAGATACATTGGAGCAAACCCATTAGTTCTCATCTTCATTCAATAAACTATCACTATAAAACATTTGCCAAACACTGGGACAAATTACGCCAATATCTTGTATTTTATATGCTACTCTACTCCCAATCTGGTTTTCTATTAAAATTTCAAGATCGGGGGGCGCCTGGGTGACTCAGTTGGTAGGGCATCTGCCTTTGGCTCAGGTCATGATCTCCAGGTCCTGGTATCGAGCCCACGTCGGGCTCCCTGCTGGGGGAGGAGCCTGCTTCTCCCTCTGCCCCTCCCCCCGCGAGTGGCTCTAAATAAATAAATAAATAAATAAATAATCTTGTATTAAAAATTCAAGATTAGGGATGCCTGGGTGGCTCAGTCAGTTAGGTGACTGACTTTCGGTTTCCTCTCAGGTTGTATCTCAAGGTTGTAGGATGCAGCCTCACGCTGGGCTCCACACTGAGCATGGAGTCTGCTTCAGATTCTCACTCCCTCCCCCTCTGCTTCCCCACCCTCTGCTTGCTCACACTCTCACTAAAATAAGTAAAAATAAAATCTTAAAAAAAATTTTCAAGATTAGCTATAGAGGGTAGTAGGGAAGGAAGTAATCTCTCAACAACTGGGGATCAGTACTGACACCATGTCCTAGCCCTGGCTTCCCTTCTACGGAGTGCAATTTCAGAAGAGAGATTCTGCTGCTCAGTCCCCCCACCTTTGCCAGCATTTGAATTAGGAACGTGTGTATGAGACAGAAAGAGAAATATTCTCAAACTGCCAGCCAGTTTTAGCCAGACATCTTCCTTGATCATTGTTTAGAAATACTAACAAGCCAAAGTAAGGAGATTTGGTCTGATCGTAACTAATAAGCAACTGAAGGCGGCAAAAGTTTGTAACAAAGCGAACGTGAGTTCATAGTAAGTAATGTTCATTCTCCAGAAATGGAATGGAATACCTTTCAAATGACTAATAGTTGTCACTAGAAGTGTTAAGATTTCTTACACTGGTGGGAAATTAGAATAGATAACGTGAAAATCCCTTTCATCTCTGAGAAATCTGTAATTATTGGTTTAAATCTCCAACATCAGATAACATTTCTGAGGGACGTTAGAGGGTCAGATGGTCTTTTAGGCATCCATAAAAGATAATCCTACCCATCAGCAAAAACATAATGAAGATCACACTCCCGCCCCCTCCCAAATCAATGGCTAGCCAAGGAAAACAAAATCAAATGTTTCATTTTCAAAATACCACCACCTGATTTCACAAGCACACGTATAACTCAAAAATCTACCGAATTATTCATTTTAAATATATATACAGTACATTGTGACATCGATTAAAAAAAAAACTGCTTAAAAAAAACACATTACCAGCTTTCCATCTTTGTAAACAAATTATTTCCCTGCACCAACCAAAACGATCAACATTAGAGCCGCACCCCAATATTTTCTAACTTTCTCCTTCAAATTTATTTTCTCATATATTCAAGTTCTATTGCCGCCTTCTCATTTTCCTAAATCAGCAATCACTGAAAAGCATAGTAAACTAAGCTCTAATGCGCATCTCAATTCTGCTGCTGCTGTTCAAATGGCCCATTATTCTATTACAGAATGTATCTTTCCTTTAAGAATTTAAGTCGCTGCCCAAGTGTGTGCAGATTCTTTAATGATCTCATTTCCTTCCTTCCATGAGTTAAGGAAATTCACTTCTAGGCACTTCCATGCTACCACTTCATGGCTCAGCTGTCATTTTCTTCCCTGGCTCCTTATCCTGCAGCCACGCGAAAGAGACTCTGAAGACTAACAAGGGAGAGGAGGGAAACCCACAAGGCTACTCACGTCAGATTTGGAGGACATGTTCTCCTCTGCGTCGGAATCGTTGGGATCCACGATATCATCAAACGGCGGTAAAGTTGACTTCTTCTTCTCGGAGGTCTCGCTTTCAATTTTGACCTTTCCCATCTTGACGTGAGACTTATCTTTCGCCTGTTTTTTGTCGGCAGAACACGTGAGGATCAGTGGGGGCGCGCTGGAGAAACTCTTAAATAAAGCCTCTGAGCTACTCTTCTTCCTCTTTTTGGCTGAGAGTTCTTCGGAATCTGAAGCGGGGGGCCTTTTACTAGGAACCTTCTTGTCTTGCTGCCCACTGGTGACGGTGAGTAAGTTACTGTCTGGTTTGGGCTCTTTTGACATGGGTTTCGGTTCCTTGAAGGCCATCTTCGGAACGATCTTCTCTTCTTTCAGTGGTTTGTTTTCTTTGGGTTTCTTAGAGGATTCTTTGGAAGATTTGTTGTGATCCCTGGAAGGTTCTTTGAAGGCACTTTTATGTTCTCTGGAGTCTTTAGAAGGTTTTTCCTTGTGCTCCTTCATTAATTTGTGAGGCTTTGAAAAACTGGTGCTGCTGCTACAGCTGCTGCTGCAGCTGCTGCTGCTGCTGCTGCAGCTGCTACTGCTGCTGCTGCTGCTGCTGCTACTGCTGCTGCTGCTGCTGCTGCTGCTGCAGCTGCTGCTGCTGGTGTGGATGCTCCTGTTAGGGTCCTGCAGAAACGGGACAAGAAGATGTGACTCAGAGCTGCGGAGCGACCAGGAGGCGCAAGCCCGCTTCCCGGCATGCTCCACCTCCACGAGAAGGATCTCTCTTTGACCGCTCGCAGATTCACTGCAAGACACAGCCAGAGCCTCAGCCTAACAGGTGGGCACGGGCTGGGCGAGGGCCACAATGGTCCAGGAGTTCAGGGGGGCCCAGCTGTCCGCCCCAGCATGACGAGCGTGGTGCTCTAACCGTCTCAGTTCAACAGGTGTTCACTGAGGGCCTGTCCTCAGATACACAGAAGGGTAACACACGGCCCCAACTCTCAGTAATGAGGACGTAGCCGGGAGCTGTGGGGGTTCCAAGAGCCACCGATAATGTGCTAGGACAACAAAAACAAGGGGGGGGCCCCGTTAATTCTGTGGGGGGCATGGGACAAGAATAATTCAGAAGTGTACGGAGAATTCAAACCTGAGCTAGATACTCAAGGATCAACAGGGAATTACTATGAAGAGAAGAATGAGAAAGTACTTGGAGACCAGGGACTAGAGTGAAGCACAACAAGGAGGGATCAAAGCACAGATTATGCTTGGGGCGCAGCATTCAGCTACAGCAAAGATTGAGAAGGAGACAGAAAAACAGCCAAGGGTCACAGAGTTGGATAATATTAATCCACAGGCCGGATGACATTACATTTTAAATGGCTTTTCAATATAAAGAATCACAAGACTCAAGAAAGAAAATAATTCTCAATTTGAAATAAAAGGCAATTATTTTTTGCTATCCAAATTTCAACAGCTAAGAAATAGGTCTCCCATCTACTAGCAAAGGAAAAAAATTAACAGAACAAAGATTTTTACCTAATAGTTATTAAATGGACTGAAAAGTCTTTAGTAATTACTGTTGTGCAATGATGAGGAAAGAGTTCATCACTGCCTATTCCATTCTAAATGTGTTACCTACTTTTTCACTCATATAAGTACCTCAGAATATATAACCTACACAGAACCTTTCTATTTAGGAGCAAAATTTAAATCCAGACTTAACATATTTGTGAACCTCTACCATTAATAGTAAGAATAAGAAACAGAAGTAGATCCTTGACATGCAAAAATCCATACCAATACTATGAAAAGTTCTTTCTTGCTTACTTCCACCTCCTAATGGAACCAATGACAAATAAATGTCCAAATTTTCAACCAGAAATCACATCTCCACGGTTTGCTTATTATGCTGTACCTCTAACTCACCCACTTAAAATCAGTGCTATGTAAGCCAATCTTGTATCCCTTCAATATCTAGCACGATACAGAAAAGATACTGGGAGGGGCTACGGTTTTCCCTAAAATGAACAATACTTTTAGGGTCTATGCTCCCCCTGCCAAAAAAGCATATATAAGCATCAAAAGTAATACTCAATGTGAAGCTAACAACCAACAAAACTAAAAGGCAACCTACAGAATGGGAGAAGATATTTGCAAATGACATATCTGATAAAGGATTAGTATACAAAATATATAAAGAACTTATAAAACTCAACAACAACAAAAAATAATCCAGTTAAAAAATAGGCAGAAAACATGAATAAGCAGACATACAGATGGCCAACAGACACATGAAAGGATGCTCAACATCACTCATCATCAAGGAAATACAAATCAAAACTACTATGAGGTATCACCTCACATCTGTCAGAATGGCTAAAATCAAAAACACAAGAAATGATAAGTGTTAGCAAGGATATGGAGTAAAAGGAACTCTCTTGCTTTGTTGGTGGGAATGCAAACTGATGCAGCCACTGTGGAAAACAGTATGGAGGTTCCTCAAGAAGTTAAAAATAAAACTACTCTACAATCCAGCAATTGCACCACTAGGTATTTACCCGAAGGATACAAAAATACTAATTTGAAGGGATACATGCACCTTGATGTTTACAGAAGCGTTATTGATAATAGTCAAATTATGGAAAGAGCCCAAATGTCCATCGACTGATGAATGGATAAAGATGTGGTATATATATATATACACAATGGAATATTATTCAGTTATGAAAGAGAATGAAATCTTGTCATTTGCAACAACATGGATGGGACTAGAGAGTATTATGCTAGCCGAAATAAGTCAGTCAGAGAAAGATAGATACTATATGATTTCACCTGAGATCAAGAGTCGGATGCTTAACCAACGGAGCCACCCAGGCACCCCTATAAATGGAATTTAAGAAACAAATGAACATGGGCGGGGCGTGGGGGGAGGAGAGGAAAACCAAGCAACAAGACTCTTAACTACAGAGAACAAACAAATGGTTACCAGAGGGGAGGGGGGGATGGGGGAAATAGGTGATGGGGATTAAGGAGTGCACTTGTTGTGATGAGCACCACTTGTTATATGCAAGTGAGGAATCACTCAATTCTACACCTGAAACTAATATTACATTGTATGTTAACTAACTGGAATTTAAATAAAAACTTGAAAAAAAAAAGGTACTACTCAAAATGAAAAATTATTGTTCTATGTTAGTGGGATTATGTATTTTTTTCTTCTCACAATTTTTTTTCTCATTTGCTCAACAACAACAAAATGACATATACCAATTATTCCATTTATTTTTCTCAAGTGAGCATTTGGTTTCAAACTTCTAAAATGGATAAAGTTACTATGCAAAGACATGCTTTTATGCACCAAACTAGATGATTCCTTACAAAACATCTCAATCTGAGAAAGAAAAAAAAAACCTCAATCCGAGATTTAAAAGCAGAATGCTAAAGATAGTATTCATATTATTGAAACTACATTATTTTATAAATTCTATTACAAGACATTTCCTGGCATGTTAAGCAATACTATGAATAATTAAAATAAAGTATAATGGGCAAACTAAATTAAGGAAGAACATGTGAAATCTAATATCCTTGAGTTTTTTTTTTTTAATTGGTTTGTTGACTCACTCAATTTTGGTAACTTGCAATCAGTATTCTAATTATGGCTCTAGAACACCCAAGCATTGCTGCTTAATATTCAACCTTCATGGAGTATTACACATATTTTTATAAATGTGACTTTTAAAAATACACAGATTTTTTACTTACCAATATGTTTCCTAATATTAAGCATTCAAAAAGAGTAAATTTCAGTACCAAAAAAAACAACTTCTACAGAGGTCCTTCCACGATTTTTTTTTTTAAGATTTTATTTATTTGACAGAGAGAGAGACAGTGAGAGAGGGAACACAAGCAGGGGGAGTGGGAGAGGGAGAGGCAGGCTTCCGGGCGAGCAGGGAGTCTGGTGAGGTGCTCGATCCCAGGACCCTGCGATCAGGACCTGAGCCGAAGGCAGACGCTTAATGGAAGCCACCCAGGCGCCCCCCGTGATTTATTTTTAAAACCCTTTTGTAGGACAAACTAGAATTCTTAATGCAAAGTCCACAGTGGTATATGACACAGACTCTTGTGTCACAGAAAGTTTAAATTCATCTTAATTACATACATACGATGTTAAGTATAAAACTCGAGAAATTTTATAACTTTTTACTCCCACGTTGGTCTAGGTATTTAATGCCCACTGTCAGCTTTTCACCAACCCAACAAATCTTCATGAAAGCAAGCCACCCAGCTATTCTCGCACCTGCCCCTTTACCAAAAAGCTCTCTTTAAATTAAGACAACTGAGAAGTAAAAAGAAAAACATATTCTGTAACAACACCCCAAATAAATAAAAATTTCAGAAATAACAAAATGGGGGCACCTGGGTGGCTCAGTCGTTAAGCATCTGCCTTCAGCTCAGGTCATGGTCCCAGGGTCCTGGGATCGAGCCCCACATCCGGCTCCCTGCTCGGCAGGAAGGCTGCTTCTCCCTCTCCCACTCCCCCTGCTTGTGTTCCTGCTCTCGCTATCTCTCTGTCAAATAAATAAAATCTTAAAAAAAAAAAAAAGAAATAACAAAATGGTGGAAGAATGGTCCCTAGTATACTGGACATTTTCTTTGTCCTGGGCCTTGTGATAAATAGCAAAGTTCAGATGTACTGTCTGTCCCCTGACTCCAGAGTCACACATGCAATAAACGTAAAACAGAGACTTAGATGCAAAGTCAGGAATTAAACTGTTACTGACACAGAATAAAAGCTTTTACTAATTCTCAGCTATCTATGCCATATATATTGGAGATCAAGCCACTGGCTTTTTAAAATTTTTACTGAACTATTAACCTCAACATTAAGTGCCACTAAGCAGAACAGACTAATTACCATTCAATGCGAAGTTTACACGTGTTGTGTAATTCAAATTCTCTTTGCCTGAGGCTTATTAGGACAAACTGAATATCAATATTAGGGAGAGCAAGTGTGCATAATTCAAATCTCAAATATTTAAGGCAAATGAGTGTTTAAACATACATATACATATTTGCACTAATTTACTACCTATGAATATAGGATACAGAATTTTCTTTCATCCTCTCAGATTCTACTGAATGCTTCCTTGTTTTAATTTTCTGGAACAGAATGGGTCCTTTTAATGTATAATCTCTTCTAATACTACTTGTCAGCAACTCTAGTAGATAGCTCACGAAAAGGTCTTAACTAGTGAACAAAATAAGGTTTTCTGATTATTTGTGGCTTTCAACTACTGTGTTATCGCCATGTCTTCTTCCTAATGCCACTGATAATGCAAAGCTGATTCTTTCTGCAGCTCCTGTCTCTTCTCTCATGCTCTTATTTTTGGTCTCTGTCCTACTTCATAGTAGGTCCCTGTCCTAGCTTCTGTGTTGTACAAGATTTTCAGATCATTCATATCTTGTTCAGTGAAATATGCATACGGACAAATAAACCCTCCCAGAAGAGTTTTATTTATCCAAAAGCAATAAACTCTCCTCTACAAGTTTATCTGTCCACAGTGCATCTGAAAAGGATACTTCCTAGAAACTGTAATATAGTCCAAGAGAGTATGCATATGAAAGGCTGGGTAAAACAGTCAAAGATAAGCTTTCAAACTAAAAATCTCTCCTGTAACACC